CAGCTCCGTCGAGAGACTTATCAATGCGTCATTGACTTCGCAACTTGACTGCATCAACTTTGAAGACTTTCTGCCACGATCGGACTAGTCAACGTCATGGAAAAGTCCCTCAACCATAGATAGGCCTCCGGTTGGCTCTATACTATGCGAGCACTAGACTGGGCCCCGTGCCTCATCCATACGGGCACGTCCCGATAACTCATTGGACTGTTTGTGATTTCGTCCTAAAACTTTCCATCCATGTCCGAGGTGGTCAACCTCGCTTAGCACGTAGCTCCATGGTTACCTGTCCGATTGACTCCATTCTACTTTTCAGACACAGCCTGAGGTCCCCTCTTATATATCCTGCCAACAGCTTTCGGTCGGACGGACGGCGACGACGTATACGGTGTTATGAAGCATGCTTCGGTTCAACCGGTTTATACTGTCAGGACACCAAATTCCCGCAACACTATTACTGCGCGCAGGGCCAATGGTGGGGCCGGAGGGGGGTGTTGGCTATGAAATCTTCGCGGTTTTTAGGAGGTCTGTGCGCGGGGAAGGTCTGTGCGTTCATATGTGTAACAAGAAGGCTATTGTGAGATGGTGTTTTGACCAAGATGACAAGGGTTTTCCACTAAGGCTTAGTATGGTACGGGATATGGCAAGGCATTTAGAGGAAAAGCGTTCAAAAGTCAGATGTGAACCAATGGGGAGGAATTGGATGTCCCATTTCCTTAAGTGCCATCCAGATCTTGCTGTTAAACTCAGTACACAGTTAGAAAGGCAAAGGACATATGCGAAGAATCCTTTACTGATTCAAGACTATTTCAACAAGCTGTCTCAGTTGATTCAGGTAAATGGGCTATTTGCTTCACAGATTTTTAATATGGATGAGAAAGGTTTTTTGATGGGAGTGGCCTCACGGGCAAAGGTTTTATGCCACTGTAGATGAAGGAATCCCCACGTTACTCACGATGGGAAGCGCGAACTCGTTATGGTTATCGAGACTATCTGTGGTAATGGTGCAGCTCTTTCGCCCTTTATTATCAATAAAGGTGCTGGCCATTATCTTGGATGGTATAAGAACTTAAAGGAGGAAAATGAAAACTACAAGTTTAGCTACTCACCTAGGGGATGGGTAGATGATCGCCTAGCTCTAGAGTGGCTAGAACTTGTTTTTGAACCAGAAACGCGTACTATTTGTGGTAGTGATCTAAGGCTATTGATCTTTGACAGCCATGGATCCCATATCACCTACAACTTTGTCTCCTACTGTTTAGCTCACAATATTCTCCTCCTTTGCCTCCCCTCCCACTCGACTCACCTATTACAACCTCTGGATGTAGGACTTTTTAGCCCCTATCAACATTTCTATGGTGTGGATGTTGACAATTACATTCGATCAGGAAAAAACCTTTTTGGAATCAAAAAATCAGTTTTCATTCCTTTTCTTATGGCTGCTTGCACGCAAACCTTTACCCCGCACAATATTTTACAGTCCTTTACGAGTCGGAGTATTTGGCCACTTAACCCGCGACGTGTTTTAGGTAAAATTGCTCCTGTCACAGCAAGGGTTCAAGACTCTCTTGGGACATTCAAAGAACCAAAGTCTGGCTATGGAATCTGACACCGAGTTCGGGCAGGAACAAACCTCATCGATTCGCTCACCCCAGATAGTTCCGAAGAACCTATCAACCAGGTAAAGACAATTATGACAACTCTTGGTCATCAATTGGAGGAAGAAATAGCGGAGAAAGAGGTGTGGTAAGAGCTTACTCATCGGCTACAAAATGTGAATATTGTTCACAATGTTACCGATAAGCGGAAACTAAGTGAAGCACGAGTGATGGATGGAGCAACCTTGATCCAATTGCCTAATGCCCGCTTGGAGAAAGATCTTCAAAGGACTCAGGCTGCAGCCAAAAGGGTAGCCTCTGGGTTCCAGCATGGACGACGAAAAACCAAGCCAGCACAACAAATATCCTCCCCTCACCTTCAGCCAACTACACCACACCAATCAGGACCACGGACCCAGCAGGTTATCATTTCTGCTACTCCACATATGGTGCTGGTCGATTCGGAGAATGATTCAGGTTCTGCAAGTGAGGCAGAGGAGATTAGCGATCCTGAATGGACTTCTGGAGCTATCCCATGTGAGCCAGAGCCACACCCGAGTCTTTTGCCTTCAGCAATATGATTAAACCGTCCAACATGCCTTCCAGATCTCCTCTGCATATGTCCCTTCGCTCCCGGCGTCCTCCTGCCCCCTAGTGCTCAGATTTTGTACATTCTGGTACCCCCCCCTTCACATTTCACTTTTTGATATATTTCTAACTCTCCCTTTCTTTCTTGTAGATACCATTGTTTCCTTCGGCTTTGCTTTCTTTATCCCATTCATTTTAGTCTTGTTTCCTCAAAATTCATCTCATACTTTGTAGTTGTCGAGTGGGGCCATTGCACAATTGCGCAATCTAAGACAGTGTCATTTTCCCGTATTGCATCATTACTAGGTGATTTACGTTAGATCCATAGGAAGACAAATGTTCCATCAATTTTTGAGCGCGCGTATCTTCAGGTTTTTGGGACTGGATTACAATTTGCCGCGAGCGGTCCTTGAGATCCGGACGTCACCCGTCTTTGAGACCGACAAAAGGCTTTGGGGAGGGCGATGGGCGCTGCGGGATACTTCAACGGCTCGATCTTTTGTTTTGGTTCAATGTACAGTCACTCCTCTCTGTCTATAAACTCGGTAATAAGGATACGCCCTTGCCCCGTATGAAATGCTGTGAAAAACTTCTCCCTAGAAAAACCTGATTCGTTGTCCCCGATAGCTCGCTGTACTAGACGGATTCTTTGGGTTTTAGCGGTCTGCGAGAGCGACGTGCCACTATGTAGTACTAGAGAAAGTGTCCGGGCTACGGTATTCGAAACGTTTCGAATTTTCCAGTCTACCGTTATTCTTTCTGTAGAGGGCGTGAGGGTTTTCGATATCTGTACCCTCCGATCCTAATCGGGAAGATGATTACACACTAGGCAGAAACTGCTGCTGGCATCCCTGGGGACTTGTTTTCCTGGCGCGGCGTAACGCGTCGTCCTTTCGTTCCTTTCTTCTCTCCACTCGACACGGGGGTACGGATACGGGGGGGTGAGGGGGAAGTAACCAACAGGGCGGCTCATCGTCCGAGAGAATTTTTCAGGGCCGGTGGTTGGGAGGTATCAGAGGAATCAAGGAGGCTCATCGGAGCAGTATTCCGACGCGGCACTGATTTGATCCCGGATATTCCACAATCGGAGCATCTCACGTGTGCCGCACCTTTTTTAAAAAATGAATGCCGGAAGCCACGCTGCCGCATGTGGGACGACGGGAGCGGAGGGGGAAGCGAAGAGCCTATGTGTGGGAATTTTGGGAAAATAACACTTGTCATGGCGGCCGGTGGGGTTAGGGGTTTGGCCATGTTTCGGATTGGGCTCGGATTGGCGGGAGAGGGGATGGTTTGTGCGTCTAGACAGACAGCTCGAGGCAGTGCGGTACTTCTATTGACATAAACCGGCAGCCAGCGAGGGCCTCCGAATTTAAAAACCGCGAGCGCCGGTAAGAGGGTCCCCGGGCAAAGGCACTGTTGATGCGGTGGATTTGCGGAATAGAGACCGACAACCCGCCAGCCCATCGTGAGACACTCCTAGCTCCAAAGGCTCTGAATCTTAGTCCACCACCGCACGCAAATAACTCAATTCTAGCTCGATGCAGCCTGCATGGATAACGGGACGTCGATAATTGGTGGGGTCGATAGAGGATACAAATACTTTAGAATAGGGTTGTGGGAAGCGGTGGCGCGGGGCGGACCCGCGACTGAGCCTGAAAATAGTGCACTTCCGAATGGTATGGGTTCCCTTTTCGGCCAAGAGCTAGTAAGTTAGCACTGTGTCCGTTTCCCTGATTTCTTCTGGTGCGTTCCATGTTTTTCCTTTATGTATCCCCTGCGGGGGTTGTCCGTTGTCGATTGAACCGAACTTTTTCCTTCTTCCGTCCGGTTACAAGGCCACAGTTTACTGGAAATGGCTGGGAAGTACGTGGGAGTCTCCGTTATTGGCCTAGTCCGGAGTCCGGATTCGCAAGCACTGGGGTTTGCGATGAAGGACAGACCACGTTATTGGCCTGGAGAATTTCTCTCGCGGAACACCGAGAAATGTCTCCCTAGTCCTTCCTTATGTTAGCCAGATGGTAATAAGGGAGCTAGTTTATGTATTTACGGCAGACTATAAGTGACTGGGGCAGTCTTACACTTTTTCAGGCATGTAATCGGGGACAAATATTATATCGAAAGAGAAGGATAGGGGGCGGGATAACGTGTAGCGGTGGTGATCTCGGGAGCTGTAGATTGATGTGATGGCGGTTTATTATACAGGAAAGGGCATGGTCAGAGGCAAAGTGATATTCTATTATACAAAGAGATTCGCTCTCAGATAGGTTGCATGAGAAAATAGTAATGGATAGTAGCCACGCGACGCAAACCTAATCTCTATTGCTTTCTCTCTGGCCCCCTTTTTCTTGATCTAGAGCCTTATCAAGATTTCCATCCTAATCATATCCTATCACTCGTAAGGAAGAATCGTGTCTTTTTGGCCTCCAGGATTTTCTGAGGGGCGACGAGTGTCGAGTTTACCAAAAAGGGCGCTATGTATTTGCCGTTAGTATTGTCAAATAGAAACCGGGAAGGGATGTAGGGGTGCAAATGGTCTGTTCGGCCGGGATGTTGCCTGCAGGCTTCACAAAAGCCTGGCCGCCTGCGAATGCTAGATGGCACCCATACCCTTGATGGGCCTAGACCGTCTGAAGGGGTAACCACAAAACCCCTCGATGGGTCTGCACTAACTGAAGGGCTATCCCTACCACAGTCTGAGTACCTAGGCCCCCTTGAGGGCCATTTCAGAATCTGGAGGAAAGGTATATAACCTGCATGCGTCCGTCCCGTCCAAGCCAAGGACGGACGGGCTAGACGCTTGGGAACACTGAATTCTTAGTCATTCTGATCCTGTTCTCGAGCTTCCTTGAGATGACGGACAATGCTATGCATTCCGCCTTTCATGGCCATGATAGTGTTGCAGGCACTAGTCTCAGGTATCTCACCCACAACAAGAAGATCGATATAATCTGCTTCTATCAATATCATGATTGAATCGGTTGCCAAAATTCTGGTCTTTCCGGCCAAGAGACCCTTAGGGCCCAGAACATTATCGATAAGGTGCCTTCCGACACGCTCGTCAACGGCAGACAGGGGACAGTCCAAAGGTAAACATCGGCACAAGCGTAGACGGCAGGAGCGATGGCCAAACGAGCCTTCTGACCCCCGGACAAAGAGATTCCCTTCTCACCAACTTCTGTTTCATCACTATTAGGTAGGGCACAATCTCTGACGGTGGCCTGGTAAAAGTCTGGGTCATAGCGGTGCCCAAACACGATGTTATCCGTAACGGAAACATCCACGATCCACGCCAACCGGGGCGACATAAGAGGTAGATCCTCTTAGAACAACTTTGTCAGACACTTTCCACAAATCTCCGTGAATTTCCTGGAGGAAGCTGCATTTCCCGGCACTGACTCGTTCCATACCTCTAACAAAGCGAGCAATACCGAGGCCGCAATTGCACCCGCAGCTAAAACCTGCAATTATCATATCCCTAAGCAGACCCCCCCTTAACAGAAGCCCGCAGGTTTTGTACTAGAGAAGACACAAACAACTCACCAATTTCAAAGTAGAGCTCCAATCCCTAACCGGACCCACCGGCTTCTGCCGTGGGAGCCAATACACCTGAAGAGCCCCAAAAAGGATGACCCCCTAGCCGACACCATCGATGATCGAATCCAGAAAACAAGGCGTGAAGTCATTGCGTCCATTAGTGGAGATGGGACCCCATCCTCCAGATTCGCAAAACAGCTGAAGTCACCTCAGGGAAAAATAAAACAAAACAAGAATCACGAAATACAGCGGAAAAGGAGGTGCAAAATTTGGGGCAAGGATAAAAACATGTGCTACCGCTCTCCAAGAATTGAAGGGAACGAATTTCTGGTTCAGTTGCTATGCATACACCTTGGCCAAGGTGTATGCATAGCAACTGAACCAGCGTGTACTTCTGGTACCATGTGACACGTGTTGTATTCTACCGGGAAATAATTGGGGGATGTCTCCGGCTTCCGAGGAAGTTCTTCCCACACCTCTACCCTCCAGCCCTTGATTTTTCGATTCGTTTTTCCCCTTCACTTTTCCCGTAATTTTCTCCTCACCCATCAATAACAATGCCTTATATGAGTAAGAATATCCTTTTTCTTTGACCCTCATTTGATTTCTGGCTGGCCAATGGATATTATCAAAGAATTGGCTGAGAAGTTTGCAAACCCTGTAGCAACTATTTTTTGTGCAGGATTACTGTACTACTCCGATATGGCAACTAGGTATGTCGTGCCCGGTGTCAGAGGAGGAGAGGAGCGAACTTGAAAAGAAACTGAATGAAAACTTAGGGCCAGGATCGAACGCAAGATGGACCGTATGAAGGACGATCTCGAACTCCAAATCAACGAAGCTAAGAACCATCTTGCTGTAGGCATCAACCAAGCCCAGGTAATAGCTGCCGGTGCGCCATTGATGCTTCTCGATGACCCAAAAAGGATCCGTGCCATGCAAGACAGGCTAAAGGCCTTTGCGGCAGGTGTGAGAGGGGGAGGCGGTGAGGGGTGTACGCAAGTTAAGGTGTAGATCAATCCTAGATAGTTTTCATCAGGTATTAATTGTCACTTGCATAGTGGTACGGGATGGGATGGGCACGGGTAAGGGGTGAGTGATAGGGTGCAGCCCTCGATAGGGAGGGGGGGGGGGGTACTTAGGCGGTTGATCCTGCGAGCCCAATGAGGGTGCTGTGGGGGCTGGTTTTTCACCTATTTTTTTTTAGAGGAATGAGACTATGAAACCGTCCCCGAAAGGGTTTTTTGCCAAGTGTGAGGTGACACTAGTGAATTTTTCGGACCATAAATTCCCATCCTTTATGCATCTTGCACCCATTCATTTGTTCATTCCCGCTTTTCAAGCCAAGCACAGTGTGTTTAGTGCACCTCTAGCTCAAGGCTAGAGCACTGATGCTGTCCTCAAAGGAGTGACATCATGATTTTACAAGTGCCTGAGTATCCCCTAAACTGCTGAGACATTCAGCCCCGTTTGAAATGTTGAACACTATCCTATTTGAGTAATCGGGAGGTAATCTACGCAGATTCGGTCACCTTTGTCACGACCTTGCTAAGGGTCTGTTTGGATATGACCATTCGCGTCCGTTCCGTTCCGTTCCCCATACAAATTTTCTTTACCCTTCCGTTTCGTAACGGTCGTTTGTATGAGAAAATTGAACAGTCTCAAACGGTTCCGTTCCCGCCAAACAGAGCCTTTAGCATTTGAGCCATCTCAAAGACTCTATTACCAGTGACACAAAATACAGTGTCACATAATGAGTGGGAGTGGCTGCTGGCAACGCAGTCGCAGAGTGCAATCCCTCATGCTACAAGAGCAGCCTCAAGACTTCACTCTCTACGGTCCAGTGGGGCTATTCCAAAAGAGGTGCCAATTCATGGCGCAGAGCCACGAGGATTAGCGGTGTAGGGGATACAAGTGGATGCAGAGGAATTCAGCCAAGGTTAAATTACTAGCCTATTTGAGGAATCACGACAAGATAGACAGTGTGGCTCTAAAGTTTTGTCGTGCTCAGAACACCATAGAACCTGTACTGATAAGAACTGTCATCATGGCGGTACGCCAACTGGCCCCAGTGTTTGATTTTGTTACCTAGACGAAGCTTGCTTGTTCTCATTAATTCCATAATGTGCACTGGCATGATGGAGTTGGTGGGAAAACAAGTGAAGAAAGACATGTGGAGGATGATTAAAGAAAGGAGAGAATAAGGTTGCACAATGTTGGATATGGTCACGGTGGTTAGCCAGGATTGGTGGAATATCAGTTGAATGGGACTAAATAGTACTATCATTCTCTCCCATACCAGTTCTACACAAGGGGTGTACAAGGCTGGGTAGAGTTCTATAAAGATAGGTGTCAATGAGATTATAAGAACCTTCAAGTGGAAGAACCGGGGACTTAGTACTGTAATAATAGTTCAGCTGTTACTGGATACTGATATTGAAAGAATAAAATATAAGAACAAGAGAATCTCAAACTACTAAACCGGAACGTCAACCCAGAGTTGTGTCGCAACAGAGGGTGCCAACCGCGTTTACCTAACTTTCAACCGTCAAAAAATTTGGGTGCTTGAGGGTCAAAACTAGATGTAGCTCCAGAGGTGCGGCAGCAACGCTGTCAACCCCAAATACCAATACATACGGACTATGCCTGGGACCCGCCACGCCCGGAATTGCCATACCGCCACCAACAATCAGCGCGGCTCTTCTATGAACTGCTGTCAACTACCTTCATGGTACTTCTTTTTATTTTTTTGTGGCTCCTTTACAGATTTGGACTTTTGTGTCGAAGCAAGTGAAGAAATGCTACTAGAGAGACGTAAGGAGTCTTTCCTACGGAGTCTTTCGTTACAAGGAGCGATTATATGCGGTATTTAGGGGGTAGTTGGGCCTAAGATTTTAATCGCTCAGAAATATTGGGAAGGGCGAGGAAGTTGGGAATTGGGAGTTGAAAACTCTCACCTTGTGTCGTGTTATAAAAAAATTTCATTCATGCTAGGACGGTGCGGTAGACGTTGCACCACCAAAAATGGCATGTTGGGTAAACACTGAATGAGAATCGAGCCCCCGACTCTACCGACCGTTAAGACCCCCTTGACTGTTGCCACCGTCAACGAGCACTAGACCGCGGTCTGTAGGTAAACGGGCGCTTACTTTTCTTTATTATTTAGAACTCCTGCATTGACTCTTCAGTTATTAATGAAGCATCTTCCCTCTCTTGTCACAACGATCATAGATGAAACATTACCTAACGGGTATGTTTCTCGCTTCCCGTAGAGGGCGCACTGGTGCGTGTATAAACTGGATCTCGTCCTCCTTTACCCCGCTATTCCCGACTCGAGGCTAAGGGGAGAGGAAACCTACAGGGGGCCAATGCCCTTCAACCCTTTTTCAGAGGAAGAGGTAGAAATACAAAAAACTGTAGTATCATATTATACAGAGGCCATTGGCCAGCCGCCACAACCGTCGCACGAGTCTGATACACTATCGAACAAGTCTTTGTACCACCATCACTAATCATCATAATTCTTACAGCACAGTACTCGAGTATGACTGCAGCAAACCATGGGGCTGAGCTGTCCTACGGTACTTGTACTCGAGTACAGCCACTTAGGAACGCGCGGCAGGGGCTCGCTAAAAAAATAAGAAACCAAATCCTTCCTTCGCGGTGCCTGAGATGTGGTTCAGCAGTTTTCGCTTCCGGATTGGCACGTGCTCTTTGCCCAGAATAATCGCCGGCCGTTTAGGGCCCGCGACCGTTTCCCCACCTGAATGTTTTATTTATGAGCGCACCCGAGCTCTTGATCCCGATAGCATGATTTAAATAGGAGGCCCGCATTGTTGGGTTATTCATCTTGCCTCTTTCTTTTCCATCGTTGCAGCCGGAAATCCGAGACCATACCTGTAGTTATTGTGAGGAGCTCGATCAACCCCCCCCCCGCTTACATAACCACTTCCACAATGCCCTATCTTACCTACATATGACAATCTGCAAGAGGCCCTCTCCAGCATGACTTTCCCGCAATATCATTCTGGAACAGCGCTGCTGGAAGGTAGGGTGCCTTGTGCTTAAAAGGGATACCTGGCTCGATGCAACATGTAACGCTCAACCCTGTATATAATCAGTACCATACCCTAAATCCTTTACCTTTGGTAAATATATTAACTTGCATTTTCAATCATATTACAGTTGAACGGCTAACGTGCCATGCTGTATATACAGAAACTCTAGTGGCAGATGTAGGGAGAGGGTCAGATATCGGAGGTAAATGTTGGCTCATTTAATGGCAGTTTTCAGGAAATAGGAAAAGGTTTTCGATATATAAAAGTGGAAAGTCTGATACAGCATATATTTGACATGTATTGAGATTAGTATGATATGTTTTTAATTTGTGATATGATTGGAAGTGAAAGTTAAAGCGTTGCCAAAGATAAAGGATTTAGGGTATAGTACTGTACTGATTACATGTAGGGTTGAGCGTTACATGTTGCATTGAGCCAGGTGTCCCTTTTAAGCGCAAGCACCATACCCGCGAAGTCTCCACATGTCCGACGAGCGGCTTTGCCGCTACCTGAGATCTCGTTAAAGCACTACCCCCCCCCCACACACACACTTCACATCTACTGCAGAAATGACAAATGCCGGGCGGTTAAAATTACCTCTTTTCCGCCATCACACGAATCACTAAACACAATGATAGCGAGGCATGACAGGCTTTCCGTATCTGTTCTTGTCCGAGGGTGTCCTGAGATCGCTATTGTGAGGGCGCGGTTGTAGTTCTGGGGCTCAGTACCGGTACAGTCTCCACAGGGGGGCATGGCGAACAGGGATAAAACACTGCTAAAGTTTCCCAACCTTAACCTTGACCGGTCCACTTTTGCCCACGAAGTACCCCTGTTCGCCATCCGCCCAGTTTCGCCATGCCCCCGGTGGAGACTGTACTCGAGTACTCAAGCACTGGTACAGTACCGGTATCACACTGGTATTGGAGTGATAAGCTGTGATATTATTTTTTACTTTTTCTAGGTAGACACGATCAATGGCTGAGTCAACTCCTTTTAGGCTGAGACGTGTTTTACCAACATCGACACAGCCCAACGCTGAGCCAGCCAGAAACATAATCTTTCGTGCTGAAGAGCCCTCGGTCAAACAACATAAAGCTGCCGTGCTGCTGAAATTCCCTAGCGCTGAGGAGTTATTGGACACTATTTGAATTTTTTTTTTTTTTTTTAGAGCCTCCTAGGAAAACAACATGGCACTTCTACCCACTTCCGGCATTTACTTCTTTCCCGAAGACGATGTACCCCCACCCGGCGACCCAATTTACGACCGACAACGAGGTCAACCTCCGTTTGTGGGTGGTGTCGGTGTGAACCAGTTCACTGCGATACCCGGCGGCTATAGCCACCAACGGGCTACACGCGCGGGCCCCAGTTATCCACTACCTGTACCACCGACGCAACAGCAGGTCTTCCTTCCGCTGGTGCAAGTCTCGTACCAATGCCAAATCCTCACGACAGCCGCCCGGACAACGCTCACACAGATATTCTACCACCCAGGGAACCGACCCATTTCAAAAGCAACATACACATTCCCAATTTACGCTAACTGCTCTGTCGTCTCTTTTGTTTGCAGAGTGGGTAAAAGTAAGGTTATCAGCGGTGTCGTCAAGCCGAAGGAAGTTGCGAAACGCGTATACGAGAGCGCGACTAGAAGTGGGCAAATTGCGGGGCTGCTGGAGTACAACACCCCGGATGTTTTCACCACTAGTATTGGGGGTATACCCGCTGGCGTGGAGATTAAGGTCGAGATTGGGTACATTTTGGAACTACCACACGATGCGGAGGCCGACGGAATCAAGTTCACGGTTCCGCTTTCGATTGCACCGAGGTACGGACCAGCGCCGCCGGGCGCATTTGGGCAGAACGGCCCGGAGGTTTCAATGGATAAGAGTCTTCGAATGGAGATTGAGGTTACGATGGGTGAAGCGATAAAGTCTGTTGAAAGCCCTTCCCATCCAACAGCTGTCCAGCTTGGACAACATGGAAAAGGGGGAGGGAGAGCTAGTAATCAAGAGCACGATCCCAAGAAGGCCTTAGTCACACTATCTCAAACACCTGCTGAGCTTTTGAAAGATTTCGTGCTTTTGATCACTACTGTGACTCCGCACTTCATATCTACCCCCCAGGCCCTACTAGAAACCCATCCAACTATCCCCGGTCATCAAGCTTTAAAAGTAACGCTTGCACCGCGCTTCGAGATGCCAGGGACGGAAACACCGGAAAATACTGAAATAGTCTTCCTAGTTGATCGATCCGGTTCTATGAGAGACACCATAGAGCACGTAAAATCAGCCCTCCGTGTATTCCTCAAGTCTCTCCCGTTAGGCTGCTTTTTCAACATTATATCCTTCGGCAGTAATAACACCTTGCTCTGGGAGCGCTCCAAAGCCTACACCGAAGAAACCTTGAATACCGCATCCGAGCACATCGAGACGTTTGACGCGAGTTATGGTGGGACAGAACTATTACCTCCCTTGATGCAAGCATTTTCCCGCAGACACTCGGAACCGGGAATGAGTACCGAAATCATGGTTCTCACAGACGGAGCGATCTGGAGGTTGCCAGAGCTACTGGAGTATATCCAAAAAATGCGTAAGCAAAGCGGTGGGGCGATTCGGCTCTTCAGCCTGGGCGTGGGAGAAAGGGTGTCGCATGCACTCGTTGAGGGAATCGCAACTGCTGGGGGAGGATATTCCCAGATTGTGACCAGTGGTGGAGCCAGCGGTGACGCATTGGCAAATGGTCTAGAGGCGAAGGTGGTGAGGATGCTTAATAGCGCCCTGACCGATCATATTGAGGAGTATAAGTTGCATGTTTTGCAAGAGGAAGGGGACGAAGAGGATTCGGAGAGCGAGGGTGAAGAAGAGGGAGCTGAGCCAAGAGCACAGATAACCCCCGCCCATCCGGCTCCAGTACGAGTCAGAGCCCCGGCAAGACGGTCGGGGAGGATTAACCTGTTTGACCCTACTGTAGCGCCCCGCCGGCGTTCTCCTCCGCAACCTCGCTCATCGGATGTGGGCCCGGCCCCATCTTTGGCCAACATCCAGGATAGCGGAAACCGATTCGCCCACTTGAAGAAGTTACAAGGCCCGGAGGTAACCCAAGCACCTTTCAAAATCCCACCACTTTTCCCATATGAGAGGTCCGTAGTGTACCTCCTCGTCCCCCCTACCACTAAACAATTGAAGTACGCAAAGTCCGTGACTTTGAGTGCGACCACAATTGCCGGCGATGAGCTCTCACTTTCAATTCCAATCACTCACATCAAGCAGCCGGGAGAGACTGTGCACCAACTCGCCGCTAGGATGTTATTACGTGATTTGGAAGAGGGTAGAAGCTGGCTTCATTCTGATAAATGCGGTGTTCCAGGAGGAGATCGGGCGCGAGTTCAGGAGTACGTCCAGAGAGAAGGTGAAGAGGTTGGCATGAGGTGGTCACTGGCGAGTAAATGGACCAGCTTTATAGGCGTGGAAGAGGAGATTATGGACGTGGCCCCGATCCGGACCCCCGCGCCACCCGAGGGAGATCTATCAGCATTGTCAGAGGGCAGATATTCCGCCCCCTTTACACCTAGTATATCGGCCGAAACTAGTGCAGATAGTGAAGACATCATGACCGCCAGCACATCCACCTCCTCTTCCAGATTCGATGGTATCTCCTTGCCAAGGTCTCATCCTACACATTCAGTTCCCGTGACGATAGGTTCTGAATCTCTGCCGCGTGTTCTAAGGGGGGCTCTAGTGGTGAACAGTGGAGTTGATACAATGAGTCGCCTTCTGGCTCCGAGGGATACGCCTGATCCCACACATCCGATATGGGGCCGCTCGATGGCTCGCTTGAATAGGAGGCCACAGTGTGGGGTAATTCACTCTCAAAGAAGTTCGTATGCTTGCTCCGCGTCCCCAGGACCCTACCCCCCAGCCCCCCCTAACCCAGGCCCTCCCGCCTCCCATTCATCTGCCGCCGCCACCGATAGGATCATCAGCCACTCCATGCCACGCATGTCCCTCTGTAGGCCGGCGCCAGACCAAACACCCATCGGACCTCTAATTAACATCTACAGACTGATTGCAGCCCAGAAATTTGACGGCAGCTTCCACATCGCAGACGAGTACGTGGCTGAACTCCTGGGTTCCCGAATGGATTCGGCGCCCCAGGCATGCGGCGGGGATAAAGTCGCTTGGGCTTCGTTGCTCGTTGCAGTGCTCTTGGAGGGAAAGTATGCTTGTCTGAGGGATGTATGGGAGTTGGTCGTTAGGAAGATTTGGGTATTTTTGAGTAGTAGGGAAGGTGTGAGGGTGGAAGAAGCGAAAGTGATGGCGGAGGAACTTGTTGCTGGGTGGGAGTAGGGCGGTCTTTCTTGGCCTTTCCAGGTGGATTTTCGGGTTTTCTTGACTCCCTAAACTGGTTAATGGATTGTGGGGGGACTGTGTTTGTTTTTTTACTCCTTCCCATTTGTCTTACCCGAGCAATTCTTTCTTTCCCTTTCCCAGTCCCGAGTCTGGTCATATACATCACTCGCTAGTGTTTTTCTTTGGAAACTTTGGTTTAGTGTGAAAGGTGTGTTATTGGGGGCTGTTTTTGCTGTTTGTCATCACAAAAGGTATTTTTCCGATGACCCGTTGCGTGTTGCACGCTGTTCCAAAAACACACCTTGTTAAAGTTTTGCGAAAATGAGGTGTTGATGGCATTTCGCAGCCAAAAATATTGCCTGATGATATGTTAGAAACCAGAGATATCAAGCAAAATGCTTGCAAACTTTCAATTTTTCCCAAAGGAGTTAGCCAAATAAGCGCCGGGATGGAGAATACTTCCAATGGCCCTAAAGCCATCTATAACCAACTAGAGTGTAGGGCCCGGTGGTCCCAGCCTAGCCTGGCAGTCCCCCGAGCAATTTGCCCCGGATAGGACCACGGCTAGCGATCCCGTCCGGTCTCTTCTTCTTGGCATTATCCCCGCCGTCCATGTGGGCGGTTGGGAAAACTGGCTATGGAAGTAGTCGCCTTATTAGATGATCCAGATATGTTTCTGGATTTTGTCCAGCGACTTCATTGCGGGCCGGAGTAAGCTCCTTGAGGCCTCGAGGGAGTTGGAGACTATTCACTAAGTTTATGCCCGTCTGGGGCTTTTAGAATTCACACCTATAGAGTTGGACTGATTGGAATAATAATAAGAGGTGTTTTATCCTCGTGAGATTGTTGCATGAGTGGAGAGAAGAGAAAAAGAAAAGGATATGCCTAACGTACACTCATCGACTGAAAGATAATAGGCAACACTGCGTAATGGAGAATCCCAATTATACAACCTGTGCACAACGCCTAGTCCACCTATCCTAATCCTAAATATTGAACACTTCTGACAGCTTATAACTGACACTCTGACAAGCAGTCAATGATACACAAAAACCCAAGATAAAAACATGCCTCAATCATATAAGTCCCAGTCTACAACGGTTGATCTTAGTTTTAAAGCCCCAGCACCACGTCAAGGTGTCAACCACGCTGGGGTCCCACGAGCCATCCGATCACGAGCGGACGATAGCCATTTTCTTTACACAAAAAACCATCATATCAAACCATGGTCTAAAGTATCACTCCTTCATATCAGGCACCCCTCCTTTCGAGGCATGTTACCTATTGCTCACTGTTGGCAATGGTAAAGATGATACTGCTCGTGGGAGCCGGGACGCTCCCGGCAGGGCAGGAACTCTGGCTGTCGCTCACAGTCCCGGAGCTCCTCCGCAACTGTGATGCAAAGTCCATGGAGAGGAAAGAAGAGGATTTGGTTGGGGGGGGGGGGTGTATTTATAAGAATCCAGGGGGGGCGGCAAAAAAAAAAATTTTCCCTTGGAATTCTCAAGAGGGTGGAGGTGAGGCTTAGGTTTTCGAACAGTAGGGTTCACGAAAAAGCTTTTATGATTCTATAATATTTTAATACGATACAACTTCCGGATTAAGCGAGATAGAGGAGTTCTGGGCGCCCGATTCTTATCTGATGTTGATTACCCCAAATTACCCTAGATAGTCAATCAAGTACCGGTAGGCCCAGTGAACCTTATATAACCTGTGAAGAGAGACTAGTGCTCTCACACTGCGCAAGCTGCCCCCCGGCCGGGGTGTCCTATGTCCTTTCCTCCCAATCCGCCATTATCCCTCCTCTTCTCCATCAACCAACACTACCGGGATCACCATCCATGTAAACACCAGAGCCTTCCAACACATCTGCTGCCCCCCCATCCCTCACTCCGTCCACTCCTCACTCCAACTTGCACCCCCCACTCTCACTAAAACGCCACAATCACCACTCCCGCCAACGGCCTGACTTCTGAACTTCCCGATACTGCCACCGCCATCCCCCAGCCCATGCAACGCAGCCACACTCTTGAGCCAACCCTACAGGTAATCCGGTCTCTGGATGTACCAACTCCCGATAAAGGACGGGAAGTATATTCAGCATCCTTCCTCGATCATTAAGGGATATCAGTGCCTCCCTGATTCTTCTTCTAATGAGAAGAAGGTTGATTTGGGCGAAATGAGCGAGCTGGAGACCCAAGTGGAGGGGTTGAGAAATTATTGTTCTGCGATGTGTATTTTTGGGGGTGCTGTGTCTAAATTTTGATGCTTCTACTTCTTGCTAAATTTTCCGGTGAGGAGGTAATCATCTATGATACCCCCGCTTCTCCGCCTCTTCCATACCTTTGTATCGGTGTGATTTTTGGGTTCGGCTCCTTTCTAGGGGCGATAGTTCTGTCTGGAGATATGTTTGTCATGACAGCATACCCAGAATTCCGTAATTTTATCTTCCCGAAAACGGGTCGCAAGAAGCTGCATATTTTCTCTGTTAATCCTCAGCAGTACTACATCTATCGCCAGAGCACAGGTAACATACTCTAAAATGCCCGCGGAGGCCGGGCCCCTGTCATTCCTTTCTGGAAACTTTTAGATAGAAGTCAGTATGAGGGGAGGCTGCCGGCGACACACATACCGCCACCGGAGGCTCCCTAATAGGCCCCCTGGTAGGGGAGGTATCATAGTCTAGATATCCCGGGTCGGTGAGGTTTAGTTTGGTAGGAGCTCGGGTGTAGTTTCCCGGGCTTTGTGAGGAGCGAGAGTCGTTCTACCCTCTTGGCCGGAATCGGAGTTGATATTGTATCTTACCAGTAGTAGAGCCATGATTGGTTCAGAGCCATTCCTAGCAGCTGAGTATGATGTGGATTTTTTTTTTCCATATTGGCAACCCCCAAATTGACACTCTCTAACGCGGCGGGATTGATGGATAAAGTCCAAAGGCAGCGGAGGGGGTGGGAGGTGAAGCGATAATATTCTTCTACTACTCGTAGTGTGGATGAAATTATCACTTGCCCTGCAGACGAGGAAGCAATAATTGCCTTCGCTACGTAATCCAAACCAAGTTAGCACCGTATCACCCGGCATGTCGGTTTCCCTGGTGTTGCCCCCCTTTCCCATCTCTCCCGTGATGGGCCTCTGGGGGCGGCTAGGAGGTTCTCCAGACAGGGCAGTTTGTACTAACCAGGCCAGAGACAAAGTGGAAGGAGGGACGTCCCTTGAGCCACACGGTCCGAGGAGGGGATATGGGGGGTCTCGATACTGGAGAATCATCTCCGGGAGGGAGTAGGTTCGAGAATATCAAAACCAAGCAAAATGAGAAAATGTCCATAACCCACCACCAGCAGCCGCCCTCCCTCCGCAGAGTTCCATCTCCTGTTGCCGCCCATTCTCATCTCTCCTTTTTTTCCCCTCGCCTCGGCCTCCCGAGGGAAGGCCTTCTCCCCCTTCTCGACTTAAATCCCGTCGGCTCGATCATCTCTCCCAGCGCACAGCAGAAACATTGCCGCTTTCGCAGTTTCACAGGGCTTATTTCAGCTAAAAATCTCTAGAGAAACAGACACTACACTAGCCACAACCATTGACGGTCCTGGGGAGGGAGCATAGCCGCCAGCGGCGAACTCTATTTACTCTCCAGTAAAAGCCTTGTCAATGGAGTTGGGGTCTTGTCGATAGCTATCGCCGACGAAAAAAATATCCCCGGAAACCGGCCACTCTGGCTGTATCGAAGGCTTGTGATAACTTAGCATGACCCTTAAAAGTGAAGTGTAGCGGAGCTATCGTGGGTGCTCTGGTAAAATCGGAGATATATTTGACTTTTTGCGACTAGACTACAGTAGTTACGAGCTACCGCGATCTAATATGATACCATCGTTTGCAGGATGAAAGTTTTGCTTACAAGGCGTTTGTTATTATTACCGCCTTATGTAAAGGGATGGATCATGCATGGTACCGGTAAGGAGAATGGTCTTATCATCTTGTTCTCTCCCTCCCACTGTGAACCTAACGAACCACCCCTGATGCTATTCGTATTCCACATATATTCATGCCCAGTAACGAAATAGCTCCCATACCCACCCCAAACAGCTTTCCCCTGAGGAGCTAGCCCAGAACGGATTGACAATGTAGGTGTTTTCTGCTGCAGGATGTTGTATCCAGCACCTTCCAACCACCAATGCGGTGGAGCGATCCA